AGCTAATTTAAATACAAATTAATAACGAATTACGAAATTAACGAACGAAACCGCCCAGCCCTAATGTTTGCTCTTGCTGGGAACAGAAGGGAGTAACTAGTCTCAGCAAGAAGAGATAAGCAGATGTGCAGAGACTTTCATTTTGACTGGTTCCTGAATTGTAGCTCGCTGTAGTAAGACGTGTCTTTTGAATGTGCTTAGTAAAACTTAGTTTCTTTTGTAACTCAAAGCTTGCAGAGTCCTTATTTTACAACACAGTGTCTGCTGATCTAGCAATACTCTGACAATTCGTTCTATAACGGTGGCAAGTTTTGTGCTGATAGCTCTAATAATGAGGGAGGAAGAACCCCCTGAAGTTTCCCAGTTGGCACAAAAAAAAGTTACAAAAAAATAATTACTTTGTTATAGTTACAAAAAAATTATTATTATTTTGGGAGACACCGTCAAAAATGATTCACCCCCTCCCTAATTTAGTAATGAGTATTGGAATATGTTTTTCCTTGATTGTACAACCCTACTGCCTATATAACAGATACCACACTCGCGTCGGAGTACATACGTGTGCAGGCTGCCGAAGGGGGGTCCAGTGCCGCTCGGTAAAAGCCGGTTTCGCAGCGACACACCTGCGCCGCCGGGGTCTCGGAATAGCTGTGCGGTGGGCATTTGGCACAAAGCTGGTCCCCCGGGGAAGACTTGTAAGAGCCCACTTGACAGGCTGAAAAGAGAAAGAGGAAGACACTGATAATAGCACATTATTTGGTTTGTGAGTTCCTAGAATCATAGAGTTGGAAGAGACCTCATGAGCCACCCAGTCCAACCCCCTTCTGCCATGCAGAAAAAGCACAATCAAAGCTCTCCTCCCCCTGACAGATGGCCATCCAGCCTCTGCTTAAACATTTCCAAAGAAGAAGGAGCTTCCACTGGACTGTAAGGCAGAGAGTTCTACTGCTAAAGAGTCCAAACCGTTTAGGGTAGAACACATTTACCACTCTTAGCCCACCAAATTTCAGAATGTTCCACTTATCCACGGATTTTCGGTGAATAGATCGCCATCCAACCTTAGTTTAAAAGCTTCCAAGGAAGGTTATACCACGAGGCGGAGAGTCCTGTTGTTGAACAGCTCTTACAATCAGGAAGTTCTTCCTAATGTTCATTGGAATCTCCTTTCCTGTCATTTGAACNTAGATCTCGTTTGCTGTGGCATACTGTGCTTTTATGTCAGTAAAACAACAACAACAACAACAACAACAACAATAATAATACAGTCCTAGATGCTTGGAAAGTGTTCAACTTGTGATTTTTTGATACGAAATCCAGCATATAGATCTCGTTTGCTGTGGCATACTGTGCTTTTATGTCAGTAAAACAACAACAACAACAACAACAACAACAACAACAACAACAACAATAATACAGTCCTAGATGCTTGGAAAGTGTTCGACTTGTGATTTTTTGATACGAAATCCAGCATATAGATCTCGTTTGCTGTGGCATACTGTGCTTTTGTGTCAGAATAAATAATAATAATAATAATAATAATAATAATAATAATAATAATAAGTCAATTAGAGCTCTGGAATCACCTGGAGATGACAATGTCCAGAGATAAAGGAGAAGAATGTGATTAATTTAATGGCATTCAGGGCTTTCCAGTCTTGTGGAAAGAGCAGCAGACATGAAACCGGTCGGCATTCGGGCAGCAGATGGGCTTCCAACCATAATCCACTTGGAGAACAGGATTCCTCTGGCAAATCCCTCACACATTGGTGTCTTTGCTGCTCCGGGGTGAGATGTGATGCCATGCAAGGCATGGCGGCTTATTCTGCCCTCCCGAAAGGTTTTCCCCAGGTGAGGCCTCCATGCTCAGCCATGCTCCGCAAAGCCCTGCGAAGGGAAGGGGGTGGTCTGTGCCTCAGCTTCCCCCTCCGCCTCCGAAGCCAAGCGCTTCTCCTGCTTTGCCCAGGCTACTCCTGCCATCTGCCAGTTGCCTCCCAAGTTCTCCATGCCATCTGCCAGCCACTGACCGATAGTAATCCCTCTCTCCCAAGCCTTCCTTCTGCAATTGCCTCTCCCTCATTGTAGGCCTTTGGATCACTCTGGTGCTTCCTATGGAGGAGGGAAAGCTGGCTTAAAGCAGGGCTTGGCAACTCGGGTGGCTCAGACAGCTGGCATGGCCTAGCCTTGAGGGCACATGTGGCTTCCAAGGTTGTTTTCCTGGCCCTCCACTTTGTTGAGCTCCTCGGACCAGCCCTTTCCCCAAACAAAGAGAATCCAAAGTCTCCAGTAGCAGAAAGTTGTGGTTGAAATGGAATCAGAGAATGATAGAGTTGGAAGGGACCCATTGACCATCTAGTCCAACCCCATTTTGCCATGCAGGAAAAGCACAAACCAAGTATCCCTGAGAATTGGAATACTGTTGAAGTCGAACATGCCCCCCTCCCCATAAGAGATAACAACCTGGCTGCCGACCTTTGCACCAGCTGTAGTTTCCGAACCGTCTTCAAGGGCAGCCCTACATAGAGAGCATTACAGTAATCCAATCTTGAGGTAACTAAGGCGTGGACCACCATGGTCAAGTCAGACTTCTCGAGGTATGGTCGTGAAGTCGAGCATGCCCCCCCCCAACAAGGGATGGTGACTTATAGTTCTGTAAAGGACAAAGGTACAAGACTGCACAATAGGGGTTAATAGGGCTGGGCGGTTTCGTTTCGTTAATTCGTAATTCGTTAAAAAATTCGTTAATTTTTCAATTACAAAACGATAACGAACCAGTCTGGAGCAATTTTTTTAAAAAACGAATTTTTAAATCGTTTCGTAAATGTTTTGTATTTCGTTATTGTATTCGTTTCGTTATCGTTTTGAGGTCGTTTCGTTATTATTTCCGCATGTCTGGGGCAAGTTTTATAGTTGTTTTTGGTTTTCTAAGGGTTTTTATAGTTGTTTTTGGTTTAATTAAGCTTCAGAAGTTCCCCCGTCCCATTTGGAGGTTTTTTAGCGTATTGCGCGGTTGCGTCCGCCATTAACGAATCGATTCGTTATTGTTTCGTAATTTTTTTCACATTTACGAAATTTCGTAAATATTGAACTTTTTTAAAGGAAAATTTTGTAATTATTTTAAATAATGAAACGCAAAAACCCCAAAAAACGAATTGATTTTAGAAACAAATTTTTCCGTTGTTACCCAGGCCTAGGGGTTAAGTCTTGGTCAATTTGCTAAGGCCTTAACAACAATGAGGACCCCATGAAACTCCGGGAATAGCTAGACCTTGGGGTCTCTGCCTCTCTCGGGAGCTGTAGTTCTCCAAGGACGGGGAGCAAAGCTTGTTTCCAGAGACACCAGGTCCATTTGGGCCACTCAAGAACTCCTGCCAGGACCTTTGTGCAACACCCTTGCGTTTTAGCCATCCCCTATGGACACTCTTTCCCCCCACATGGACAAACCTTATGAAATATTGCCTTTTATGAACTTTAGATATATGAAATGTGTTTTCTGATTTCTTTGTGTGATAGAGGCCTTTCCTCTTTTCTTCTGACCTTTGTTTCCCCTATATACATGAAGAAACTCCACCAAAGGGACTACAAAGCCCCAAACATTCCAGGAATTTTTTTATCCACAACTTCCCTTTGCATGAACAATAGCCTGGGCAGCTGGTGGCTCTCGGAGGAATTGCCCAGCCCTCAGCTTGCCCCTTTGGCAAAAATCTTAATCATATTTCCTCCTGAAGGACAAAAGGTCTTTGAAAAACCTTTTGCCTTCGCTCTGATTAACTCAGCTATCTCCCCCAAGAAACAATAACCCCAGTCTCGCCTACATTGTCTCCATATCTGCTGGCTAGTAAAATCCAGACTTTCCTTTACACATGTTGATTCATTCCACTCAAAGCACAATAGATCAGGCTGGCTTGAGATTTCCCCTTTGTCTCGCCGGCCACATGGCATTATTTTTTTTCACATTCATTCATAGATTCCTTTGTGTCCTTTCATCCCGCCTCCCTCTTTTCTGATATGCTATCACCGCTAGATGGCAGAAGCCTCCCCATTGGACCCTGCGGACCGCTGGAGCTTCCTGATTGGTCCGGAGGCGCCAGGGGCGGGAGGGCCACCTCCCAGATGTTCGCCCATTGTCCAATTAGTGGAGGGCGGCAGGGAGGCTGGGGCGGGAAGTTTGAACTCTGCAACTTTGAAAACTATATAAATGGCTGTATCAAATGTATTTCTTTATGCTTAGCTTTGGCGAATGATTGCAGCTTTGCATCCGGTTTCAGCTGAATCGCATTAAACATTGATGTCTTTTCTTCAACTGGTGAGACTTTTCATTGGGAAATCAGGGAAAAATATGGGATGCTTCTCTGTCTCGCCAGGGAAAAAGAACTCTTCGATGAGTCTAATTGGTCTCTGCCTCCTGGCAAAGACCCCTAAATTTTACCTCTATATCAATCGCAGCTGGTGCACAAGTCTTAACTGTGCAAAGGCCCGACACCTGAGTATCAAGCATCAGTGCTAAGTCCAGGAGGACCCCCAAACTGCGGACCTGTGTCTTCAGGACTTTCAGGCCCTGGGAAGAATCCAAGAGGACGACGACTGCTATAAAGCCAGGAATGGCTGGAGAAGGATGCCTTCAAGAAGGCCGCTCCGTTTAAGAAGACGACGCAAGAATCAAGATCAACAGATGGAGAGAAACAGGAGGTGCCCCAGGAAAGATGGATTGCCGTGAATTTACGACTGGATAATTCAGTTACTTCAAGTCGTAGCCATGAATCTGCCTTTGAAGACAAAAAAAGATGCTCCCTGTCCGCAGCTCGTAATATGTCAAGTCGGAGCACATGGCGCATTGAAATTAAAAGCCATCACCCGACACAACTGATTTAGAAACCTGGGGGCTTAAACTTTGCTGTCAAAAAGGGATTGTTCATCACCTTCAGATGTGCAATTTATATCCCGGAGTGCAAAACAGTGTCGTTTCCTGCAGCCCGTCAGGCCGTGTTGTTTTCCATGGGAAGATGTCACAAGGCGGTTGGTTTCGTTTGGTTGCTTCTTTAATTGTGTCAATTTGGCATGAGCATCCGAGCACCTTGTGGATCCGAAGGGATGCAAGGAAAGGTTATACAAACAGAATTCGGGAAAGTTGCTACGGAATGAATTATTATTATTTATTTTTATTATTATATTATTTTATTATATTATTTATATTATATTAATATTTTAATATATTATTATTATTATTATTATTATTATATTTTTATTATTTATATAGGAGCCTTTGTTTTGTGGGGTTCCTCAGGGTTCAATACTGTCTCCCATGTTGTTTAACATCTACACGAAACCGCTGGGCGAGATCATCCGGAGTTTCGGAGTGAGATGTCATCTGTACGCAGATGATGTCCAGCTCTG